CAGGGTGTCAATCATTACCGGAGTAGCAATAAAGATTGACGAATAGGTACCTACCACAATACCAATCAGCAAGGCAAACATGAATCCTCTGATTACATCTCCACCAAAGATGAAGATGATTAGTAGCACGAAGAAGGTGGTAAGTGAAGTATTCACCGTTCTGCTCAGGGTGCTGTTCAGGGCCTGGTTAACCACGGTGGTCATTCCCTTGCGCTTATTGTGTGTATTTAAATATTCACGAATACGGTCAAATACAACCACGGTATCGTTTAGCGAGTATCCGATAACCGTTAGCACCGCGGCTATAAAGGCCTGATCAATCTCTAAGGAGAAAGGTAAAAAGCCATACAGCAGTGAGAACAGTGAAAGTACCACCAGTACATCGTGGAATGCGGCCGCTACCGCACCCAGACTAAATTGCCACTTGCTAAAGCGAATCAAAATGTAGAGGAAAATCACAATAAGGGAGAACAAAATAGACCAAATGGCGGCACTGCGAATGTCGTCAGCAATGGTAGGACCAACCTGTCGCTCCGCTACTATGCCAATTTCCGAATCGCCCTGCGCTTCTGAAAAGAACACTTCTTTTTCGGGGGCGTTCTGATAAAACTGGGCCACACCGGCATACAGGCTCTCTTTGATGTCAGCCTCTACTTCGGGGCCGGTTTCGTTGATGCGGTATTTGGTGGTAATAATCACCTGATTAGGCTCACCAATAGTTTTAACGTCCGGGTAAACTTTAGTGCCATTCTCGTTCACAAAGAAATTACCCAAGGTGGTTTGAATCTCAGCTGAATTTACCGCCTGATCAAAACGTACTTGATAGGAGCGGCCACCCACAAAGTCTACACCGTAGTTTAAGCCACGTGTAGCCAATGAGATTACCCCGGTTAAAATAATCAAGCCACTGATCAAGTACGCTATTTTGCGCTTTTGCAAAAAGTTAAAGCTCAAATTCTGGAAAGCGCCCTTGGTCATCTTGGTAGAGAACGTAACGTTTTTCTTGCGGTCTAAACGGTACTGAAATACCAAACGCGTGATAAAGATGGCGCAAAAAAGTGAGGTTAAGATACCAATAATCAAAGTGGTGGCGAATGCACGAATAGGGCCGGTACCAAAGGCGTACAATATAACCCCGGTTAAGAAAGTAGTAACGTTGGCGTCAATTATTGAACTATAGGCGTTCTTGTAACCGTCACTAATAGCCAAGGCCAAGCCTTTTCCCTGGTTTAACTCTTCCCGAATGCGCTCGTAAATCAGAACGTTGGCGTCAACCGCCATACCTATCGTCAACACAATACCGGCAATCCCCGGAAGGGTAAGCACCGCGCCCAATGAAGCTAGCACGCCAAAAATGAAGAACATGTTTACCACAAGGGCCAATACAGAAGCTCCACCGGCACCATTGTAATAGAATACCATGTAAACCATTACCAGGGCCAGGGCCACAACAAACGACCACAAGCCAGCCGATATGGCCTCTTTACCCAAGCTAGGACCCACAATGTCGGCCTGGATGATTCGGGCCGGAGCGGGAAGGGCACCTGCTTTCAAGATATTGGCTAAATCCTGCGCTTCGTTTACGTTAAACTGGCCCGAGATGCGGGTACTGCCGTTGGGAATTTCGTTTTGCACTACCGGTGCCGAGTAAACAATGTTGTCAAGCACAATGGCCACAGCCTCATTGTCTTCCTGAGTAGTTTCACTACCGGCAGCTTCGCGGGTAATGCGTTGCCATTCTGAAGCGCCCCGGGCGTTCATGGTCATATTAACGATGGCGTTGTTGCGCTCGTCAAAGTCCTGGCGGGCGTCACTAACTACATCGCCCGAAAGGGCAGGCTCGCCCTGGCGACCCGTTTTGGCAGCATAGAGCACGGAGATATCATCATCGCTGGGTTTGCCCCACAAAAAGCGCACGTTGCGCATGCCCGCGGGCAATAAGGCACGCACTCGAGGATAAGATAAATATTCGTTTACCAGATCGGTATCTCCCACGGTGGCGTAACCCACAGCCGGACCAGGCAGCGCCTGATTGGTTTGACGGTCGATGTTGGGGAATAGAACTTGCCAAAGCGGATCAAATGATTGCAGGTTCATAGAATCTTCTGCCGCTAAGGCTGAATCTAAATCAATGGCATTGCTTGAAATTTTCGGACTGTCAACATCAGCGGCCATTTCCTCCTGCTCGTCAACGCTTTCAATGGCCAAATTTTCCAGGCTTTCATCCTCGCTTTCTGTTGTTTCGAGAACTGCGCTATCTGAGCGTGCCTTGTTCTTTTTCTCATTGGGATTTTCCACTATTCCGCGCAGGCGCTCGTTGGCCTGACCCAAAAAGTTTAAGAGCTCATAGCCCTGGTAAAGTTTGTAAAACTCAAGCTCGGCCGTACTTTGTAAAAGTTTCTTCACCCGATCGGGATCTTTAACACCGGGAAGTTCCACCAATATTCTACCGCCTTCATCCAGTCGTTGAAGGTTGGGCTGAACCACTCCAAACTGGTCGATACGAGCGCGCAATACCGTGTAAACGTTTTCTACCGAAGCATTAATCTGCGCACGCAACTCAGCCTTTATGGCCTCATCGGTGGCATTAAAGCCCAGCTTATCGTTCATTTCTTTGGTACCAAAAATATCGGCATCGCTCAACTTAACATTGGCGTTTCTGTCGGCACGAACGGCTTCAAAAGCGTTGAAGAAATTGGTAAGATAGTTTTCCTGGCTTTCGGTGGCGCTTTTATCGGCACGGTCTAAAGCGGCAAGAAATACTTCGTTTTGGCTTTTATTGGTAAGTTCTTTCAGGATATCGCGAACCGATACCTCAAGAATAACGTTCATGCCACCTTTGAGGTCAAGCCCCAGATTGATCTCTTTTTCTTTGACATCGCTGTAGGTGTACTCGTCAATAAGCAGGTCATAAACCACCTCGTTATTCATTGAATCCAGGTAGTCTGTTCTGCCTTCAAAATCGCCTGGAGCATGGGCTTCCGCGTCATTCTCAACGCTTTTGGCGATGAAAGTGAACGACAATTGGTACAAACAGGCCAAAGCAAAAACTATGGCGAAAAAACGTATAACTCCTTTATTCTGCATTATATATGGTGGTAAGGGGGTTAAATTTCAAGGCGGCAAATATATCATAACGTGCCATATTTCACAATGAACGTTAACTAACTCTGCAATTTAAAATGCAAATTGATTGATTACCTTTGGATAAAATTAAAATTTTCATGCACAAACCCTTCTCTGCCGTACTCCTTTGTTTATTGTCATTAAGTGTTTTAGCTCAAGAGCGATTTAGTTTTACACAACAAATCAACACTCCGGTATTTCATGGTACCGATAGCCTGAAAAATGCCTGGGGTGGCGGCTTAAACTACCCCAATTTTAGCAATATTGATCTCAATGGCGATGGACACCTGGACTTAGTGGCTTACGACAGAAGCGGGTACAGGGTGTTGCCGTTTATAAATAAAATTGGCAATGGTGATTCGGTTTACCGCTATCAGCCGGAGTTTGCCAATGCCTTTCCCCTGCCCAAAGAACGCGGTTCTTTCATGCTTTTGCGCGATTACAACTGCGATGGCAAGGAAGATATCTTTTTCAATGACGGCAATTTCATATTTGTTTTTGAAAACACCAGCCAAAATGGCGTTTTGAGCTTTGCACCGGTAAACAACGGCAACCGCATACAATCGCAATACGCCAGCGGGTCAATTACTGACTTGTACATTGCCCGAACCGATTTGCCGGCCATTGACGATGTGGACGGAGACGGTGACATTGACATCCTCACTTTTGGCAACGGAGGCACTAGAGTTGAATTTCACGAAAATATTGGCAATTGCGGTTTGCAATTTGCCCAAACCAGCACGTGCTGGGGCGACTTTAAGGAAAGTGGCATTTACCGCTCGGTTAATCTGCTCCACTGCAGCGGAGGCGGTAAAAAAGATGGAAGTGGCACACCTTCCGCAGAAAGCGTTATGCACGCGGGCAGTGCCATGCTGGTGCAAGACTTAAATGCCGATGGCATCCCCGATATGCTTCTTTCCAACGTAAGTTTTAACAATTTAAGCGCCTTGTACAATG